AAAAGTTTGAAAGAAAAAAAAAAAATTAAGGCTGTTCCAGCGGAATTCCAAGCATTGGAGCTTTAGAAAGGTGGTTTTGTTTTCTGTTTTTCCAAGCAGACTGAAGGATTTTTTTTTTTAAATTTTTTTTTTTTTTTGTATTTTTAAATCTTCACAAGATCGGTTTCTCAAGTTGACCAATAGCTGCTGCTTTGGGAAGCGAGGAGTCTGTGGTCTGTGTGCGCTCGTGTGCGTGCGTCCTGGTTGGCACAAGTGGCCCGTGTGTGCACGCTTGGGAGTGTGTGTGTGTGAGCTCGTGTGTGTGTTTTGTGTGTGGGGGTCAACACTTGGGGCTGGCTCACGCAGGTCACACCCTTCCCGAGCATGGCCGCTCGGTCCCCTCCCTCTCTCTTCCTCACTGGCCAGGCCCTCGCGCCTGCCACCAGATCGTCTCGTGTCCCCACTTGAGCCTCAGGACTCTTCCCCTTCCTCCGCTCCGGTGGAGAGCACTGGCCCGGAGCCAAGGGAGGAACTTCTGGTTTGGAGTGATGGAGCTTCTCAAGACCAAACAAAGGGCCAGGACAACAAAGGACAAGGGATGAAGAAGGAGCAGAGGCAACAGGGAGTTCGGAGGACAGATCTGTAATATATTTGGTTTTAAAAGATGTCTGGCATTAACCTCTTAAGTTATGGACTGTTTGGCAGACGGCTGGGACAGGGGGTCCTGGTCTGCCCGCCTGGGAAGGGGTCATAGGGAGCAAGCGGCCTCTTTGGTTGGTCTTCAAGGCATCCATTTTTCTGGGAATAAAGCCACATTAGCTGCTAACCCTTCTGGACATTGTAGGCCATGGGAAGGGACAGGTGACTGTGTCTTAGAGGTGTTTTCACTGTGACAAGCTCCGTCCTCTGGAAGGTCCCTGCGTGGCTGAGTGAAAGCACGCAGCCCTGCCTTGCTGCCACCTTCCACGCTCGTGGCCCTGGGGTCCTTCAGTCCCTTGCAGGTGCCACAGTCGTGTCTCCTCCTGGGAGTGCATCTCCCTCCCCACCTTCCAGCTCAGATACAGCAGCCTCCATCCCCAGAGAACCACCTATGAAGACGCAGCGAAGCTTGGAGTGGAGCCCGCTGGATGGCAGTGGGTGTGTGGGGGCAGTGACAGAAGGCAAGATGGGCCTCAAACACCTGCTGGCCACCTCAAGCCCTGGACCACCTGAGCGTCCTCAGGACTGGCTTCTGGAAGCTGCTCGGTGCTCTGCCGCCTCACCTGTTCCAGGTGGGTCCTCAGGTGACTTAGGTGTCACCATCCCACAGACAGTGAAGCTTGGAGGTGGAGGTAGCGAGGCATACACCCCATCTCGGGATAGGGGACAAATGCGAACCCACGGTTCCTTCTCTTTGGAAAAAGAACCACAGCTGCTCAGATAAAGGACACAGTGAACTCTTTTCTTTGGTCCCTCAGAACTGTCACCCACAGGTCACCCCTAAGTGCATTTTCTCACAAAGCTCGGCTTTCTCCTCTTCCTCCTCCTCTTCTTCTCTTCAGAGTTGTGGGATCAAGACCTGAACAGAGCCACAACCACAAGCCCCGAGCCTTCTTGGTTAACACAGGTAGACACAAATCCCAATGGTCTATTGCTGTCTTATGCATATGATTCGGGAAATCACAGGCTATAAAAAATATCGCCAGGAAGCTTGAGTGATTGGCTCCAAGAAGCAAGAGTACAAAAAAAAAAAAAAGAGGGAGAGAAATTTATTTTCGCCAAATATTTTGTTTTGTAAATAGAAAAGAGGCTCTGTTGGTAAATTATGAAACAGCGTAGGCCTAGGTATTCTTTTTTTTTCCTAGTCGATTTGTAGAGGCCGTACGTGACACTAGCAGCAATTTTCACATTTTTTCTAATTGAGAAAAGTTTTCTTACATCTAGGGGACAAATTATTTATTTTAATATATAAGAATCACTGTACAAAATCACTTTTCATAAAAAAAGGAGCGCATGTAAATTTTTATCAAAGAAAAAGAAAACAGGTGGATGTGGGGGTGATGGGGTTTGTTATTTTTCTGTTTGGTTTTTTGGGTGGTTTTTGTTTGTTTGTTTGTTTGTTTTCCGGCACAGTCTACCTCAGTGTATCGTTAGGGATGAGGTTCGAGGATGGACGTCTCCAGTCTTCGGGATTCTGCCTGGATCCTGTCATGTCAGCTGATTCTGACCAGCAGGACCTGGGGAGAGTTGGGAATGAGGGAGCGGGGGACAGAGAAGGTTCAACCTTCGTCCCAGCACAGATTCTTTTTTTCCTGGTAAATGACAGTCTTCTCTAAATTCAAACTGCTTGCCCTTCTTCCCCCCACCCCTTCTTTTTGGACCTCCATCCATCAACACCACGTGCTTACCAACATGAATCAAGTTGCAGGCTGTCATGATGCATCTGATGTAAGGGGAAACCCCAATCTGATTGCCCGTCTTTTGGTGAAAAGTGGGTGCTGCACAAGACAGCTGGTCCCCACCCACCATCCCTCTGTTGGCGGACATCTGGGTGTCCTGCGTCTCTGGTGGATTTGTCCCTCCTTTCAGGTGTGGGTGCTCTCTGTGAGGGCAGAAGGAATTCTAATGAGTAACACACACAAACACCCCTTTTTTTCCTTTCCTTATTCTGAGAAATCCCAAGTCTGCCATCACCCAGAATACACTGTGCAGCAATAGAGCACCAGGTCCCAGAGTTTGGGGTCTCTTTGTCTCCCATCTGATCTTTATTCACCCCATGTGGCTTTCAGAGTCCACGAGCAAGTCTGAGCAGGGCCACTTTCAAGACTCACCAAACCCTGCTGCCCTTCTCACAGTTTATGCAGCACCCTGTGAATTCCTCCGTCTCCACCTGCCCTGGGAAAAGGAGAGCCTTGGGGGGGCCCCACTGTGTATTGGGGTTGGGGGTGTCTCACCGACCGTATTCAGCTGTTGCTGCTGCCACCTTGTGGACAGTGAGCAGCTGTCAGGTGAGGTGCCACTTGTTCGTATGTTGGGAAAATGTTGACTTTGTAACATTAAAACTGTGGCCCCTTGAAAGTTCTGTTGATCCTGGGGGGTTGTAGTGATGAATTTAGAAAATGAACTGGGCTATGCTGGGGTGGGGGGGAGCATTTTGTTTGTTTTTAAATCAAATTCACTACTTCTCAGAACCCATTTCATGCATCTGGTGAAAACTGTGTAGTACTTCCTTCTTGTGGGAAGAGAATGCCAGCGTGTGGCTTTCACCTGGTTAATTGATGTCAAGCACAAATACAGAAATATCTACATTATCAGCGCTGGTCTGGGTATAACTGAGTCTTAAAAGAGCGTGCTTCTGATATTCTTGGAAAAGAGACTGAATTCACTTGCGAGAAAATGTAGGAGTTGACACAAGAGTGGACTCATGGGATCTGCTGACCCCGCAGGGGCCTGCTGGACACTTGCTGATGGATGCCCCACCGAGGTGACCCAGTCAGCTCTGAAAGGTTCCCGTGGCTGTTAGATATTTTCCTCATGGCTGGCCGGACCACTGGCCTGTGGGCAAGGACACTGTCCGGGCGCCACCCAAGCCAGCCGTCTAGGCAAACAGATGTGCAGTGATGTCTGAGGTTCAGCTGTCCTTCACAGTGTGGCAGGGGAGCTTGGGGTCACACAGCTTTTGAATGTCCCCTTGTGTGTCCTGCACACTTCAGGCTCTGTAGTGTGATGGTTTTGCTCAGTGTGGGCATTGGGGAATGCTAGCTTGGTTCAAAGTGTGTGCACTGTTTTATATCCCTACAGCAAACCTTCCCAAATGCTTAGACTCTTGATTGACAGCAGCAGGGAGGTTGGGAGTGGACAGGACGGGTCAGCGTTTGAACCGATGGAATGCGATGGACATTGCGGGGGGGGCTGTAAATGCAAGAGGGGATATCCTCCAGCAACATGGAGTAACTTCAGTTGCTGTTTAGCTCAGTGTCCCCTTCTTGGACCTGCCAAGGCCTCAAAGCAGGCCCCAGCCAAGTTTGTATTTGAGCTTTGGCCATGAAAGTCCTTGTAGGAAAGCAGAAAGAATGGATCTGGGGCTCCGGGAAGAGCCGGCCCCAGATGAATGCCCACCCACACAGACACTCAGGCACGGCTTGTCTCGTCTTTATACTTTGCGTCAAAGTTGCTGCTTCTTGCTCCTTTGTGTGCCTGGTGGCCTCGGCCCTGCGTGTTGCCAGACGTCTCCTGTCCACGGTCAGCAGCGCAGGGTCAGACGCGCCGTGACTTCAGCGGAAAAATAACTCAGAAACACAAAACCCACACAGAAAAGAAAAAAGCTCAATGATTATTTTTTCAATGTTTTCCTACAAGAGCCAAGTAGTGACCTGTACAGAAAAGAAAAAAATAAGTCTTTTTGGAATACTGAAATTGTTCTGCATGTAAAATATTGGATAATTACCTGTTTATATGAAAATTTCGAATAAATTATCTGAGGAGATGCTTGTGCGTGGGTGCTGTCTTTTCTCGGGCTGTGGGGTGGGTTAAAGGAAACC